TCTGACCACAGTAGTGTGCGCTGCTCTCTGGCTCCTCCTGCTGGTGATGATCAGTGTGTTCAGTCTGCAGGTCTGATCTCTCCTTGTCTTCTNTAAGACGTTCATCACTGAGGCTGCTGCTGCTGCTGTCGCTCTGATCTGGAGTCTGCAGATCCGCTCGCAGACACTTCACCGGCACAACACTCTGCCTCGACACTAGAAGAACAATCTGACTTTATAATAACAATAACAATAATAATAATAATAATAATAACAATAATAATAATAATAATAATATATGGGATTCTGTTTTAATTAAAGTAAATGTCACTAACATACAGTTGAATTCAAAATGATCCCCCTTCTGTAAATTTCACCAAGTGATGTTTAACAGAGCGAGGACATTTGTACTGCACTTCCTATAATATTATCGTTTTCTGGGGAAAGTTTTATTTTTTATTTTGGCTGGAATAAAAGCAGTTTACACATTTTTACCCAATCTTAAGCTTAATATTATTAGTTCAGAACATTCATTATAGTCTACTGAACAAACCACTGTTATACAATGCCTTGCCTAATTGCCCTAACTTTACCCTAATTACCCCTTTAAATGTCACTTTAAGCTGAATCCTAGTGTCTTGAAGAATATCTAGTCTAATATTATTTACTGTCATCACGGCAAAGAGAAAATAAACCAGTTATTATGTGTAGAAATGTGCTGAACAAAATCTTCTTAACAATTTCACAGGAGGGCGAATGATTTTTCCTTCAACTGTATGTCGGTAAATCTACTCCAGCTACACACACACATATGCATTGGTCTGCCTGCGCTGGGGTGCGTTTCCCAAACAACAACGTAACTCAAAGTATGCACCATTTGGGAAATTAACAATGTAGTGACGAGCGTTTCCCAAAACCCGTAGTTTCTCTGTTGCAGATCCATCGTTTGAACCAAGTTAGTCATAACGTAAAACGTCCTTAATGATGCTCTAAACAGGGTGGAGTAACAACTTCAGAACCCCATCATTTCTTTGTGCAAATTATATTGTTTTACACGCACACACATTAGAAAAAAAATCCAATATTAGTTTTGGTAAAAACATGCATAACTCTTCCCATAATAATTGCGAATTGAACACATACTTGAAATAGAAAACAGCCAGGAACTCTGTTTCTAACTACAAGCTCCAGAGGTGTAGTTGCAAGTATACAAATTTGCGACGCAGTTTGCGAGTATTCGTTGGAACAATGGATTTGGGAAATGCCAAATCAAACTATGTAACGGTGAAACTTGCGACCTTAGTTGACCATACTGATGGTTTTGGAAACGCACCCCTGGCCTCTGATTGGTGTACATGTGCTGTGATTGACAGCTGGACTCACAGATGTCGATCAGGAGTGTGTATGAGCACTTCTTCAGGAGAGCGCGGTCTCCGGTGTGTGTCGACGCAGAGCTGTGATCCGCAGGAGATGACAGACGAGTGTGAACCCTGCGGCAGAGCTGCATGAAGAGCACCGCAGCGGCACCCTGCACACACACACACACACATTTAAATTTATAATATTTGCACACACAAATGTATGTATACACACACAAACACACATATGTGACAAAGACATGTATACAAATACACATGGATATATACACAAACATATATATATATATATACATGCACAACAAACATACACACACACACACAATACAAAAAACACATACAACACAGATGTGAGTTAATAACACAGAGCAGCACACATGATCATCAGAGACAGACACTCAGACAGTAGTGTATTTGCTGACCCAGCCCACTGCATCCAGAGCGCTGTATCTCGGCACACCAGCAGAGCAGAACTGAGATGTGCGTCTTTTCTTCTGCTCATCTTCACCTGCATGAGA